TGTATGTGTATGTGTATGTGTATGTATATGTGTATGTGTGTGTATATGTATCTGTGTGTGTGTGTATGTGTGTATGTGTATGTGTATGTGTGTGTATGTGTATGTGTGTGTATGTGTATGTGTATGTGTGTGTATGTGTGTATGTGTATGTGTATGTGTATGTGTGTGTGTATGTGTATATGTGTATGTGTGCATGTGTATGTGTGCATGTGTATGTGTGTATGTCTGTATGTGTGTATGCGTGTATGTGTGCATGTCTGTATGTGTGTATGCGTGTATGTGTGCATGTATATCTCTGCATGTGTATGTCTGTATGTCTGTATGTGTATATGTGTATGTATATCTGCCTGTCTGCCTGTGTGCGCTGCGTATGCACGACTTTCAGATGATCAAAATCCTGCGTTTTCGCCCTTTTATTATCCCGCGGTAGGCGTTTTGTTGTTAGTGGGGGGCTGCTGCATGCAGGGGTTGAGGCATGCGCCGTGCATGCATGCATAGGATGCGAAGGGAGAGTCCTCTAGTCATGTGCATTGGCGAACTGGTACGCTTGTTTCAAGGTGTTGTTTCATGACAGAAACAGTGCATGCAGTGCATGCCAGTGTTGCGTGATACGTGGATTCAGGTTCCCCCTTGTCCATTTGACATTGCGAAATGCCGCTCCGTGTTGAAATGCCTGGAGGCTCAACAGCTAGCAGCCCTTGCTTCTGCCATCGACAATCTTTCCTTCTGGACGCCGACGTCTATGCATATCCTTTACCAGGTATGTACTCCCCACTGCCGATTTCTTCCGCTGTACAGCCTTCTACCGCATTGTTTCACGTCGTGGTGCTTGCGCTGCGGTGTATCTGCAGGTGTGGCATCTGCTTCAAGGGCAGCTTCATGAAATAAGGGCTGCACAAATCCTTGCACTGGCAATGGCCTTCAGAGATTGGCATTTCAGAGACTGGTGAGGCTTTTGCTGTCATATACTGAGCACAGGAATGCTGGATTTGTGTACCCCCAGATACGCCAGGATTCGGGGTATACAGCTATATGTATATGTGTATATATGTTTATATCGCTGTCCGTTGACCTATGGATGTATATCTCTGTATCGCTCTCTGTCTATTATGGATGTATGTCTCTGTATTGCTGTCTGTCTATTTATGAATGTATATCTCTGTATCGCTGTCTGTCTATTTATGGATGTATATCTCTGTATTGCTGTCTGTCTATTATGGATGTATATCTCTGAATCGCTGTCTGTCTATTTATGGATGTACATCTCTGTATCGCTGTCTGTCTATTTATGAATGTATATCTCTGTATCGCTCTCTGTCTATTTATGGATGTATATCTCTGTATTGCTGTCTGTCTATTATGGATGTATATCTCTGAATCGCTGTCTGTCTATTTATGGATGTACATCTCTGTATCGCTGTCTGTCTATTTATGGATGTATATCTCTGTATCGCTGTGTGTCTATTTATGAATGTATATCTCTGTATCGCTGTCTGTCTATTTATGGATGTATATCTCTGTATGTATATGCTTTTATAGATGTATCTACAGATATATATATATATATATAGTTGGATGTATGTAGGTCACTATATGTATGTATATATACATATATACTTATCTCCATGTATGTATATCTATATATCGATATGTACTACGTACATATATATATAAATATGTACATGTCAACAGAAAATATATACGTCTGTAAAAGTATGTCCATATATTTATATATATATATATGTATATCTACCTATGCAGAAAGACGAATGCATTTTCTGACACCTTAGCCGAAAATCGACTTGTGCGAATTCGAGGGTGTTGAGGGTTTGTTTTCTGTTTTAGGGAGTTGTCGCTGGACATGCTGGCTCCGAGTGCAGCCGATGTTGCGAGTGCATGGGATTCTCTTCCTGCAAGCGGGCTACTGTCGACTCCTTCGCAACAGGTTCCATCGGGTGGGGTGTCTAAGGCAGAAAAGACTGCAGACCTTTCGCAGGCATCTTCTTCAGCGTGTTCGCTGGAGGATGTGGACATGGCAGCAGCAGCAGCAGCAGTCATAGGACCGCGCCTTGCGCTTTTGTTTGAGTGGAAGGAGTCACTTGTTTCCGACTGCGTTGAGGGCCTGGGCAGACACCTGAGTTACGCAGCCGAGACGTGGCATTGTCTGAGACGTGTCAAAGCCTTTACGGCTGCAGTGACGTCGGGTGTCTTTCTCCCGCATCTGGATCTCATGCAGCAGCAGCAGGAAGAGCAACGTTTCTCCAGCTTTCAGCAACAGCAGCAGGAGCAACAGCAGCAGGAGCGGCGGCAGCCTCCCTTGTTTTTTTTACGGCTTCCTCCAGTCAAGGGGGAGAGGGGGTCTCTGCCGTTGCTTGAGGTTCCTACGCACAGCCGTCGGCACCTTTCGGAAGATGCTTTCGAGAAGTTTTCCGAGGGCGCATCAAAAGGAAGGAGTCCAGCAGCAGACGCGCGTAGGGTGTCAGCGTGTGCTGCTGAGATCTTTAGCGTCTGTGCTGGAGCCGATTGGACGGCCCTTGCAGTCTTGTGCGAAGAAACGCGAGGAACTGCTGAGGCTTTGAAGAGGATCTCCGAGGCACAGAAGCAACAAGCCGGCGGGATAAGGGAAGCTCAAAATCGCTATGGTAAGACGACGCAGGTGCTCCTTGCCACTTTTCTCTCTCTGCTTCTGCAGATCCACTTACTCATGAATGACAGCTCGTGGCGGTCGAACGACAGCGGGTTCTGTCTGGCAGGCGTGGAAGGGGAGGGGGGAGGAAGGAGGAAGGAACGGGGAAGAGTGGAGCATTTGAAGAGTCGAGGGATGCGATTATATATATATGTATATTATCTGTTTTGGACAGCTTTCTCGAGCGGTGTTGTGTTACATACAGTGTGCCACCTCCCTGGCAGGCCGTAGTTGTTTCTGCTCCAAGGCGTATGCCGCAGCTAGCTCGCCACATTCGTTTCGGCTAAAGCAGCTCTTTTGTGTTCTGTCTTTTTTCTAAATGCGAGACGCTCTCGAGGGTGCTGCCCCTCGCATCTGCTGAAACGTGACACACTCTCTGGACATGTGCGGTAATGGTGAGGCGTGCCCCTGCTCTGCTGACATGGATTTTTTTTTCTATTTATACAGGCTCAATCGAGGGAGAAGGGGAAGAGGCTTCAGTCCCTGAACAAAGGATTGGAGGAGATGCTACGCCCCCACCTGTCTCCCCAGTGCCGCCTCCTTTGCTCTTCAACGCGCAGGGTGAGCGTCTGCTGCCTCTTTCTACGAGCAGCAATAGCGGCAACAATAGCAGTAGCAATAGCGGCAACAATAGCAGTAGCAATAGCGGCAACAATAGCAGCAACAATAGCAGCAACAGTAGCAGCACTCGTGTCTCGGGAGCAACGGGAGCCGCAGCAGCCCCCTTGTTACCGACACTTGGGGCGGCTGGCGGAAGCGCACAGGAGACAGTAACCTTGCGAAGTGTTAAAAAGCGAGTTGCCTTTGCTCTTGGCCATCAAGGGCAAGGAGCTGTTGTGATGAGTGAGGCATCCAAGGGGCCTCTGCTGCTCGTGGATTGCGTCGTGGGACCATTTAGGGTGGATGTGCTGCTGCTTCCGCGGCAGTTTGTTAGGGAAGAAACGGAACCTTAGCTGTATAACCCGCCATGCGTTTTGGACGTCTCCGTCGAGCGTCTGGCGGGGTCGTTAAGAACCACCAAGGCCTCTGCTTTGGGGCTTTATTTTGGTGTCTGTCTCTCCCTGGAGAGGCGCACAAGGGAGGGGGGGAGCGGAGCCAGTAAACACGGAGATTAGCAGTAAAGGAAGCGGCAGGTTAGGACAGGGAGTGTATATATATATATGTATATATATATATATAAATCAGGAGGGAGAGGCAGAGCCGGTTTAGGGGAAGAGGAGAAGAACGGAAGGGTGTTGCGGAAACTGTGCAGGAGTGCCTAGGGGAAGCAACGGGGGAGGGAAGCTCACGGCACCACTGTGCACCTACAGAATGTATGGAAACATATAGAAAGAGGGTATCTAGGCATGTCCTTCGTAGAGGCTTGAGGTTCTGGATGCCGCAACGACGGCTTTTGTTTCTCTGGAGAGACAGAGTGTCCGTCTCGCACGCGCACCGAGGCCCAGTACTACCCGCCCCAAGGAACTGCGCAACGGGGGGCATTTTTCCGTTTCCAAGAAGCGAAAAATCGCAAATTGAAGCTTTTTTAGATGTGTTGGGCATGATTTGTCGCTTGCCCTGACAGCAGCATCCTACGAGATGGGTGTGCAACAAAAGTTTCGGTCGTACATGGGGGGCCGTTACCCCGCTTCTCCCGCCTAGACCCGTCGCCTTCATTGTGTTTTATCGGATTCAAGGACGCAAATGCAGAAGAATCCAGCAAATAATAGCTATTCTTTCGCAATTTCAAAGCCATGGTGACCGCAAATGCGCCTCTGAAGGCAGCAGTCATACCCGGATTTTCCGTCGGTGCTCTCTGGAGGGTGTCGTCTGTCTGCACGAGTGTCTCGGGCCTTGAGATCTCGCGGCGGGGGGCAGCAGCTGCTGGTGTTGATACACTTTTTTTGCTGCATAAGCGGCTGCAAATCCTCGTTTAACGCACATGCAATTGTAGTAACACCAAAAAATGCATATATATGCATGCATGTTTCGCAGGGGGAAGCGTATTTTGCCGCGATCTGCAGACCGCGGCGAGGGCTAACCGGCGCTGCCCGGCTTCTTCGCTTCTCAGGATTTCTCGCTGTTTTTCCGCGGCTGAGACTTTTAAAAACGCACTGAATCTCAGACTGCTTGCTTCTGTTTTTTTCGGCTTTTCCGCATGCGACGCAAAGTAAGTTCTGCCACCCCCGCCCTCCTAGAGAGAGAGCGAGAGCAAGCGAGCAAGAACCTGCTGCACACTGATGAATGCCGCAGCTGAAGCCGCGGGAAAGGCCGTCTCCGCAGCAGAGCACCCCTAGCAGCGGGGTCGAATGGAGCTTGAAGGGGAAGAGTACCACCACAGCCTCCCCAGTGCATATGAGGCCTCCTCCAGCCTCACACCCCCCGTCAGCAACAGGCTGCAACAGCGCCTCTCAGAAAGCTTGACCACGCAAATCCTCAGACGCCCTCCCTCCTCCAGCCTAGTGGAAGGGCATCCTCCAGCAGTGCACGCCGTGCACCCCTCTACGGCTGCGCTGCCTCTGGGGGAAGCGCAGTCGTCGATTTCGGATTTTGGTGATCCCATACAGCCTGGAAAAGAGGCTGCTTCTGACTTCGCTTCCATAGGCTCTCCAAACTCGCAGCCGCGATACCCCCTGCTGCTCCATAAGAAGCACCCAGAACCTGGAAGGAGCTCGCCGCAGTATACGCAGCTTCCTGAATACGCTTCGTCCCCCCTAGAAGCCGTTCTTCCAAGGCTGCCCTCTGCTGCACAGACCACACCCACAGAAGGCGGCACCGCCGACGCAGAGACAGCAGCCTTGCAGCTGCAGCCGCAGCGGCTGCCTCTAGGGAGCTCCTACTTCGGGAGTGACCCTAACGATTTCTTCTACAGCAGTCCTCAGGCGCCTCGACTCCCTGGACCAAGCGCTGCAGAGATATTGTCTTACGCGGCAGAAACACGCGAGGCGGCAACAGCGGCAAGAGCAGGCGCAGCAGCAGCAGCAGTAGAGCCGCCGGAAGTTTACTCCTTGGTAGAGGAGGTCGATGCAGAAACGCTTAGTTCAGACAGAGAGCCTCTGGAGATGTTTGCTGGGCACACCCCTGCACAGTTTCAAAGCCAAGGGCCTCAATTTTTTGTTCCTTGGCTGTCTAGTGCTGCTGCGCCAGAAGAGGAAGACGCCGCTGCTGCTGCCTTTGCATCCGGGGAAGCGGCTGAATACTCGGCCGCTCTCTCGGATGCTGGAGCTTCGGCGTCTCCGACGCAGGTGCAGCAAGCCCTCGAAGCGCTTGCAGGGGAGTCTAGCGGTCACTTACAGTATGCGCAAGCCACAGGAGACACTCAGCACCTTCTAGCCCATACCGCTATGTCGAGACTAGCACCCTTGCCGATTGAGTCTCGCATGCAGGCGCATCGGCAAGGCTTCCACCTCCGAGAGCCGCATCAAGGAACGCCTCCCGCTCAGCTGCCCCCCTTCGCGCTGCCATACGACACCAGGCTCCCGCAGCAGGAGGAGCTGCTGCAGCAGCAGCAGGAGCTGCAGCAGCAGCAGGAGGAGCTGCTGCAGCGCCTGCACGCGCAGCGGCTGCAGTACGAAGAGCAGCAGCGCAAGCTGTTGCTGCAGCAGCAGGAGCTGCAGCGGCAAACGCAAGAACGGCAGCACCAGCAAGTGCAGCAGCGGCTGTTACTGCAGCACGCGCAGCACGCGCAGCAACAGCAGCAGGCGCTAGCAAGGCAGCAGAGTCTGGGGGGGGGAACCCCTCTGCGCGCAGCTTCCACGCGCACAGCAGCCGCTGTAAGGGCGGCGGAGGCTTCTGAGGAAAGTGCTGCAGCTGCTGCTGCTGCTGCGGCGGCGGCTGCAGCGGCGCTAGAAGACGGCGAGCTCGCAGCTCAGCAGGCGCAGCACGATGCAGCGACAGCGCAGACGGCAGCTGCGGTCGCTGCAGAGGCTGCAGCAGAAATCGAGGCGACAGTTGCTGTGACGGCGGCAGAAGGCTCCCGCAGAGCAGCAGCCACTGCAGCCGCTCAGGTAGGTCCTGCCCTCCAAGCTCACGAGCAGGCAGCAGAAGCGGCTGCTGCAGACGCAGAAGCTGCTGCAGCAGTTGCCGAGCAAGCCGAAGCCTTAGCGCAGCAAGCGCTGGCGAACCTGCATGCCGTGACATCCCCTGCGAGGCAGACTCCACAGCCGCCTCAGCAGCAGCAGCCGCAGCAGCTTCGAAAGCATTCTATCGGCAGGCCCCCCCGTCGTTCCTCCCGTCCAAATCTCCTGGCGGGTACGCTGCTGCAGAATCAGCAGAATCAGCAGAATCAGCAGAATCAGCTCCAGCAGCAGCATCGCCCTCCACCGCATCCCCCGCAGCCGCCTTGGGCTGGAGGACAGAGTGTGCCGTTGCGGCAGGAGACACTGTCGCCGTTGCGCTCCGATCCTCTGCAGCAGCATCTCCGAGCTAGAGGCCAGCAGCTGTATGGACCCCTGCTCCAGCACTACGTGGCGCAAGGCGAGGCGCAAAAGAGAGAACTCTATCGGGAGCGAGCGCAGGAGCTGCAGGAGGAGATCCGACGCGTGAGGGAGGAAGAGCAACTGCGGCGGATACAGCTGGAGCTCATACGCCAGCAGCAGCACCAGCAGCAGCAGCAGCAGCACGCTTCCACGTCGCAGCTGCTCCAGCAGCAGCACTTGCTAGCGGAAGGAGAAGGCGAGCCCTATGCGTCGGAACCTGCGCCACCCCACCAGCACGTAGAGGAGCCGTCCTCGTTCACGCAGCAGCTGTACATACAGGCGGCCGCTGCGGGGGAGGAGGACGACTCTGCGACGCATCGCGAAAGAAAGCGGCAGCCCCCGCAGCCGCAAGGCGCCTTTCAGCAGCCTCCAAGGGGAGGCCGCTTAGCGTCTGGAGTTGCAGATAGCTTTTACCCGTCAGCAGACCCCCCCCTCAGGAGACAGCAAGCCTCTCAGCTGTCTCTTCTCAGCAGCAGCAGCGACTTCAAGGCGCCTGCGGCTGCTGCTGCCGCCGCTGCACTCGACAGCATCGCTGACCAGGTATGCGCCATTTCCCAACACATTGCTGAGCAGCAGGAGCAGAAGCAGCAGCAGGAGGCTCTGCAGCAGCAGTATGCCACTGCCATACAGGTGAGGCAGCAGCAACTGGAGAGACAGGAAGCACTCGTCTCGCAGCAGCGGGATCTATTGCAGCAGCAGCAAGAACGGCAGCACAAGCAGATGACGGGGGCTCTCGAGGCTGCAACCCGGCTGCAGCAGCAGCATCTGGAATTCCAGCACGCCAGCTTGATGCAGCAGCAGCAGCAGGCTAATGAGCAGCGAACCTACATACAGGAGCACACCCTTGCTGCACTCGCTGCTGCAGACTCGATTGTGGCAGCGGCCCGCGCCGCTGTCTCATCGCTTGACGCCGAAAGGCGCAGCTCTCCCAACAACAAATTGCATGTCGTGTTTGCTGCGCCTCCCCGTGATCCAGCCAGCCTCCTGAAGCTTCAGGCTTCCGCTGCTGCTGTGGACGCGGCTGCGAGCAAAACCAAGAAGAGACTCGGCGAGACAGAGACGGGGGGAGAGATTGCGTGGGCTCTGCAGGACGGTGAGGTTCACAAAGCACGCACCCAGCAAACGCCGCTAAATGTGCCCTTTAGCGTGTATATATGTATACATAGCTCTATAGGTATATACGGTTTTTTCGAAAAAGACTTGATCAACAGTTTGGCATGCTTCGCGCTCCCGCCCTTGATCCCAAAGGTCGTGCTCCTTCCATACAAGGGCCTTTTTCCGGGGTGAAACGCGACAGAAAAACAAACCCTGCCTACCCATGCGCGTAAGTCTGTCGACAAACACGCACTCTGGCAAGCCAGACAGCACGTCTTGCCCAACTTGTGCATGTGCTTCCTCCGCCACTTCCAGAGGAGCTGTGCGACTGCCGGAAGCCTATCGCCGATCCTCACGCCTCTCTGCGAATGCTGGAGTGGCGCTTAGTCCCCGAAAGCTTGGCTGCTGCCTTCTCGACTACTCCCAGAAAAAGACGACTGCGCTGCACCGCCAAGTGGCTAATGGCTGCTCTCTGGTAGGCCTCGTTTTGGCACATGCCACTGCACGAGCCGTGTGCCGCTCTGGTGTTGCCTGGCGGCTTTTTTTCGCATTTCTGCTCCCAGACTGATGGCTTTGCTACTATTTTGCGTGGCTAGCTGCATCAGTAGGCCACGGTGAAAAATAAGACACGTGTGTGTGTGTGTGTGTGTGTGTGTGTGTGTGTGCATGGTTGTGGGCTTTTTTCTGCATCTGCGTCCTTATGCTTGGGGGTTCCTATTGATCCTCCGTGGCTGTGCTGCTGCACGTGTTGGATGTGCGTCTCTGCTCTCTAACGTGTGTTGTTTGTTGCACGCGCAGGGTTGTTGCGCTGCTGGCTGCTGTTGGCTGGCTATTGTGGCACTTATGCTTCGGGGGCCCAGAGGCTTCGCACTGGAGCGTCCGCTGGATCGCCTTCAGCTGTTTCTGCCTTTGTGTGCTCGTGGTACCGTGGGGTGCTGGGGAAGTGGGGAGCTCGGTGTGTAGGTCAAAGGCTCAAAAAAGCGCTGCCTATGCGCCGCCTCTTGCCGCGTGGACTAAGGCCTGTAAGGCAACCCCACGGGAAGGGCGTGAGGCGACGGCAAATACACCTGAGGGGGGATAAACGGAGGGAGGGAGCTAGCTAGCCGACGCAGAGAGGCAATCACAGAGGGGCTAAAAGCAATGGAACGCGTTGCACAGAAGAGGCGCACAAAGCCCGACGTTTCCTCTTTGTGCCTGGGATTGCTAGAAAACTCTGCTTTCTACGCTTTCCTACCCCCTTCTCCACCCCCTTTATGCTCATTCCCCGCTTCGCATTGAGCATCCTTCTTCCGTGTTGTCTCTGCTGCTACATCCTCCTGTTGTTCTGTCCCCCCGAAGCGTCCAAGAGCGCAGTTGGCGGAAGTGCTGCTGTTGGGGGGGGAGAGAGAAAAGGGGGGAAAGGGGCAGGGCGTTTTTAGTGATGTCGGCAATGTGGCGACGCCATGCAGTTCCTGGGGAGCGAGGTACCCCAGTAATCATGTGCAGTGCTCTCAGCATGCGTGCGCAGACGTCGCTTTGTCTCCGTGCGGCTGCAGTGCACCCCGGATTATCCCTCTTCATTGGCTGCTTCGCAGCATGGGGGTTGTGTCAGCTCCTCTTCGTGACAAAGTATAAAGGCCTCCTCTCCCCGGGAGAAGAGACGGCGGCGAGATGGGTCGCCTTCCTTCTGCAACTTGCAAGCATCTTTGCTGCAGAGGTTACACACATGCCCTAGCTCCTAGATCCCGTGATAGTAGGGCCTAAAGCGTGGACCCGAAGCTGAGAGAGAGCCATATTCCACGAGCCGTGTCTATCCTGCCAAAGCTAATCCCAGCATAAGGGAACGAAAGCTTAGCCTTTAAACTAAGGGTCGGATTTTCTTTAATAAGTCCTTTCGTTTCCCAAATATTACAGCCCCCAAGGTGCACAGACACACTCGCCGTCCTCGAAATCGCGAAGGCTCTTTGCGTGCTGCGTTTCAGACCTCAGCTTGTGTCAATCACCGCCTTGCATTTGACGTGTGCATCAGGCGACACTGCGTAATATAGTGATTGGATGGCTGCGCCTTCGACTGGCCGCCTCGCGCTCCTCTCAGATAGCGTCAGCCTGTCTTCGAATTTGTGCTTTTCGGAGGCTCAATGTGCTGTCTGGAGGGGGCACCGCCTTGTTTGTAAACTCCCGCAGGGGAGTGCCACCATCAACGCAGAGACGCCTCAAGAGTTACAAGGAGGAAATGAACGAACTCAAGAAGCTCAAGCCGGAAGCCCCTCTTTTCCCGCCACCCCCTTTTGCCGCCTTCACGTTTGACTATGCCCCTGGGCTGCTGGGGGATGACGTCAACGCATCTGCAAACGCCAGAGGTGCAGCAAGCGCCTGTAAAGACAGTGCGGCGCCAGCGATGCAGCAGAGCTACCCAAGTGTGCAGCCGCACGTGCACATTCCGCTTTCGGCGGGAGAAAACAACTGGGGCCCTCTTCCTCTGCCAGGTGTGGCGTCGCCCCTTGCAATGCTGCCACCCTCGCCAAACGGGCTGCTGCAGCAAGGCAGCAGCACTCCCCCGAATCAGCAGCAGCAGCAGCCTGTGGTGATGCAGCCCATGCCGGTGGAAGACACAGTCAATGGGGGCGGCAAAGGAGGGCCTTTGGCTGGACAGTGGAGCTACCTGGGTTCGACGTCGAGCAGTCTGCTCAACAAGCTCCTGCAGCACTGGCGGCAGGAGCAGCAGGCCCTTACAGAAAAACTGAAAAACAACAGAACTGCATTCATAATGCCCACAGTTCCGCACTCCCTCGAAGCTAGACAGCAACAAGAGCAACCGCCGCTGCAATACACCGCAACCTCAAAGGCTCTAAGCGATGTTGCCCATCCTTTGCAGTCCTCAGCTCCTGCGTGGCAGCATGAGGGAATTCATAACGCCCTCAAACAATCCTGCCCTTCTTCCTCTTCTCCCATGGAGCGCACCGATAGCAGCAGCGATAGCAGCAGCTGTGGCAGCAGCTGTGGCAGCAGCTGTGGCAGCAGCTGTGGCAGCAGCTGTGGCAGCAGCTGTGGCAGCTATGGCAGCAAGAGCCTCTCCAACAAACGGAACGGGTGGAAAGCGTCATGCAGCTGCTGCGGTGAGCCGATCTCCGGAGAAAGCGTCCTTATGAACTACGAGGCACCACTTCGTGGACTCTCCGAGCAGCGAAAAAAGGACCAAAACAGCCTAAGCCTTCCCCCAGCCCCCCAGTGCCGGTGGCATTTCCGCCAAAGTATCAGCAGTGTCTCCGACAGCAGCAGCAGCTGCTGCTGTCTGAGCTGTCTCCACGAAGGCACAGGTAAGGCCGCGTGGGCAGCGTGCCGCGGCGTGGGAAGCCCCACATGTCGTCGGAAGGGAAGCAGAAGTTTCTCCAGCTTTTCCCTGCCTTTGAAGCCCCCTCGAGCAGAATCAAGCCCACATTCAGCAGCAGAATACGCTTCCACAGTGTCTCTAGAAAAGCATGAGGGGAGCTTCCGCAACGCTCACGGGCTAGACACACGTGGAAGCCTGCAGGCGTCAAGTACCAGCTGCAGCAGCGGCAGCAGTCCCTGTAGTTGCCATGCAGCGCACTACGCGCCTTCAGGTAATCTTGTTAGGACTGCGAGGGCAGAGCCGCTCAAGAGAACGCGCTACCACAAGCCTCCCCACAGTCCCTCAGAGCGCGTAAGGGAAGGCGACAGAAGCCGTTACAGCTGCTGTAACGGCATGGTTGGAAACGCTGTTAGCTTTCCACCGAGGCACCCGCGGAGCCGCGCCGTTGTTCGCATGCAAGCAGTCAGCGCCCTAAGGATGCACAAAGGCTCTTGTGGGGGAACCAGCAGACAGCAGGATACGGCGCTTGCTTCCCACGACTGCTCTGGTAGCTGCAGACGATTCGTCGCTGCTCCAGAGTATACGCGGGAGGCTCCTGGAGGCGCCTGGAAGTCTGCTGCTCCCCTTGGCACCGTCACCATCTCTTCAGCTGCAGCGACACCGACCAGTCTAGAGGACTCAGCGACTTTGAGCTCAGCGCTGCTCAGCTACAGCAACGGGGGGGGGAGCGCAGTACCCGCAAGTCTAGAGATCGCCGAAGTATCGGCAGCGGGAGCCTTGCAGATGTTGCAGTTCCTTGTGGTGGCAAAAGCCCAAGTGGTCGTGCGGGGAGAGGCTCAGCAACTGCATTCGCCGTCGGATGTTTTGCTGCACGGTGCGCAGCTCTTTCAAGAGCTGCTGAACTTCCACTGGTTCTTCCACCAGTCGAAGGAAACACAATGGGACCTGCCCGTACAGCAGCACAGTTTTTTGAAGAAACCAGAGCAGGCCTCTGTGCTGCTGACTCCCGCAGCGTCTACGAACGGCATTCTGAGCAGAGACGCCGCCGTCTCCCAGCAGCCTTTCGCCAGTCCGCATTCCAGAAGCTCCCAAGGGGGGGGAGCGGGGGAGAGAACTGCTCCTGGAGTCTGGAGTCGGGGTGGCTCGCCAAGGAGAGCGGCGGGGGGGGGCCCCCTCAGTGCCTCCCTGGGGGAAAGCCGCCGTACTCTCACCGTCTCAGGAGGCCCTCCTCAGGATGAACTCACGAGCTGGAGCGCCCAAGAATTGGGGGAGTGGTTGCGCTCAGACACGCGACACTATAGAAGCAACAGCAGCCGAAGCGACACTGGACGCTACCCGCAGATGCAGTCGGAAGCTCTCAGCAGCTGGCATTCTCAGCACAGAGAGCCTGAGCGGCTCCCTGCATGGCCTGCAGATAGCGCTGGACCAGAGCTGACGCCTCCTACACCGCAGTTTTCTGCAGCCTCACCGGCTCCGCGACTATCTGACGTCAACACGGGGATGTTTACAGAGGCTTTCGCAAGCCACGACGGAGCGCACAGACAAGAACGGACAGCCTGGCGGAGTCTCGATCCCCCGACAAGCTCGTACGGGGAACTTACGCAAACAATGCAGCAGCAGCAGCAGCAGCAGCAGCACTACCACCATCTGCAACAGCCGCCCCCGCAACGCGATCTGCAGCCACTCGCAAGCTCCCAGGAGACATCAGGCACGTCTTCTACCCAAGCGTTCCAAACAACCGAAGCATCCATGGGATCTCAGCTACAGGGAATAGCGGAAGGCCAGCTACTGCTTCAGGAGTTGCAGCAGCAACAGGAGCACCTGCGAATGCAGCAGGCACGGCTTCAGCAGCAGCAACAACAACAGCAACAGCAGGCACGTCTTCAGCAGCAGCAGCAACAACAGCAACAGCACGCACGTCTTCAGCAGCAGCAGCAACAACAGCAGCAGCTGCACGGCCTCTCCTCCACAGGAGGAGCCTGGACCAACAGCGGAGTTTCTGTGGCTCCCAGCAGCGATCGCACGGGGAGCTCAAATTATTTCGCTCTGCCAACAGCAGCCGCCCTCTTTCGCACAGCCGGCGAAGACACAGCAAGGGCCTCTATGTCACCTGGTCCCCCCGTGCTGCCGTCTGCCACCTCGTCTTCAGCGCCTCCCATGAGCGCTGCAGCAACCTACAACGCAGTGCACCCCGTTTGGTTTCGCAGCAGCAGCAGAGACGCAACTCCCAATCGGACTGCCAGCAGCAGCACGACCTCCTCTCGCCTCTTCACGTTCAACCCGGAAAAGCTTGAGAGCGCTGGCCTTGCTGTCGCGGATTCGGGGAGGGCTCATGAGAGTCTCCTCCCGACTTCCTTTCCAAGATGGTCCACTGCATCTGAGCCGGCGTTTTCTAGAGCCTCAGAGCAGGTGGCCTCTGAGGCTCTCTTGCGCAGCAGCAGCAGCACCTCGGCAACTGCGCTGGAGAGACACGTGGGAGAAGTCTATGGCGCGACTTCTAGCGACATGAATATGGCGGAGAGCTTGCCGCAGCACCAGCAGCAGCGGCTGCAAAGGGTGGCGCCAGACGTGCAACAAAGCATCAGCAGCAGCCTCTTTGCTGATGCGCGGAGTCACTTCGCTGCAGTCTCGAGAGTTCCCCGCAGCAGGAGGCGCAGGTGTCGCGGCAGCTGCACCGTCAGGAGCAGCAGCTCCTGCAACTGGGGCTGCCATGCGACTGCTGCATGCAGATGCAACATTGAAAGCTCGACGCCTGAAGACGGGGAGCACAACGATCTCGAAAATCCTGCTGCTGAAGGCACCACAGCCCTTCTTCCACCAGCGACACCCGGTGCATCCGGCGTGCTCGATGCGCAGCAGCAGAAACAGCACTCTTGTGCAAAACACTTTGTCGCAGAAGTGTATCACCAGGTGTGCCCACTGGATGCACGAGGCGGCCCGTACAGCTGCTGTTTTGACCCCCCATAGTTTTGCTGCTTTTTGCTGCTGCTTCCACGCGTCCTTACTGCTGCAGCCGCGTCTGCTGCTCTGGCTTCCTCTGCCTCGATCCCTTGGTTGGTGGGTTGCAAGCTTGCACGCGTCGTCATTCATCCTTTTAAAACCTCTTGCCACCCTTCCTCTGCTGTGCAGCGTTCAGGGCCCTTGAGACGCTTTACTGTCGAACCCCCCTCCTGGCGAGGTGCCATGACATCCCACAGTTCTGCAGTCGGTGCTCCAACGGCGGCAGACTCACAGCGCGAGCGTTCTTTTCCACGGCGAGCTGCACTTAAACTCGATCACCTGCTGTACTTCCTGCGCCATGACGATGCCACCCTTTTTTTCAGCTCCTTCGAGAGAGCCAGTAGGTTGGCGAGGGCTGCACACCTTGCCCCTTCTCAGAATGCGACTTGCATTGGCATAAACCGCTCACGGGGGCTTCTCGCACAAAGTTCTTTCCGCTAACACTTAACACGCACACTGCGTACAGTCTAAGAGGCCTTTCTCCACCTTGAATGACACATTTCCAGTCCTCATAGGCCCCTTTCTCCGAAGGACAGATGCCTTTGCTGCGCCATCAGTGCATGCGCTGCTTTTGGACTCTCCTTTTTGTCCTCTCCTTCTATTATGACTCAACTACCCTAGTCGCTCCAAAGGCGAGCTGCTCCTCTCCAGATTCAACCTCCTGTCCACTTGCACTGAAAGCACTACACGCACCGGACCCGATATGAGTAATAAGCGAGCCAGCTGGAATTTGGCTGTCTGCCTAAGCAGCTCGCTAAATGTCTTTTGCCACTGTCTCACAGACCCCGAGTACATAACCCGAGGCGAGTTTGTCTTGGGCCTGATGGATGCCTACCGAGATCAGCTGAAGCTGCGCCACGCAGCAAAGGCACGTGTAATAAACCATTCGGGCAAATATTGCAGTGAAGAGGAGACGCGCAGTCAGCTCCTTCCGGAAGCTCAAGGCGAACCCTTGAGCTGACCACAGGGCACTCTGTATTGCGCAGTTCCCACGACAAGCTTGGAGTTTTACGTCCAGGGAGGCTTAGATGCAAACACTCATGTATGCGCAGGCAGTGCATTCAAAGGCTTGATCTGAGGAAGCCTTCAATTACGTGTGGTTGGTTCGGTGTGCAGCTGAATGAAACCATAGTTCACAAGACAAGCCGCGCAATACGAGCTCTCTCTGCTCCCCTCGGCTTGCTAGTGGCACTTGCGCTATCGCAGATATACTTCCTGCAGTGGGGGGCGTTGGGAGTAGGAGGCCTCCTTCTTGTGGGTGTGGCGATTTCAAGTGAGCTTGCAGGTGGACTTAAAATTCTCCCATCGAGGACTGCCCCTCTCAACTGTTTCATTTAGCTGCGGTCAATTCTGCTGCAATGTTCAAAATTTCTGCCTCCTGTGCTGCAATGGCACCACTCCCCACAAGCACGCATCAAAACCCCTGCACAAAGCTTGCAGTGAAGAGCAGGCGTCCAGTCAGGGCTTATGTTAGCGAGTGGCGAAAATTTTGAGCGGACCATGAACCTCAGCTCTGCTCCTTTGCATTTAAAAATTGCAGATACAGGGGCTGTGTCACGTGCTTTTGCATACTTGTCGCCGGCAGTGATGCGCGGCGTGCTTCTCCTTTTTTACGACACCAATGAGCAGTGTAACTCACGTTGCCGGGGGGCAGAGGTTTGAAGAGCGGCGCTGCTACTGCTGCATGCTCTCTTTGTCTGTCTCCCTCTCGTGGGAGCTAGTGACGTAGATTGCTGAAACAGTATTTGAGGGTTGATGCATGTGTCTGGTTTGCGTTCTGTCCAGGCGGACGGCTCAAGGAACTCTGGCAGGAAGCGCACTATATGGGCTTTGTGCATCCTTTTGACGTGGGAGATCTCGTGTCAATCAAAGAGCCGCGTACGGCTGCGTTCGATACTGCAGGTGGACTGTCTATTCCTAAGGCGACTCTTGCTGGGGTGTCATCGATACAGTCGGCGGCAGCCCTGTCTGCTGCTGCTGCTTCTGGCAGCACTGCCACAGAACTCAGAAGCTCGGGGGTACTGGAGCTGAACAAGGCCAGATGTGTCGTCGCAGATCTCCACACGTGCTCCTTTGAGATTGGCGAAGATGGCGCTGAGGTGAGCTCATGCGGTATCCCTGTCTGTTTGTGTGCCTGTTCTACGTCTGCACGTGCCACCACTCCCTTTCCCCGTCGCCCTCTCGTGCCGTTTGATGGAGGCTTTTGCCCCTCTCTTCTCTGGCTTTTCGTGAAAGGCTACGCGACAGCTCGGGCAGCATGGTGCTTTCTGAAAGCCGCAAGCCGGCGTGCCATGCGCCTCTCACGATGGCTCGCCACGAGCTGTGGCTGCTGCTGCTGCTGCCTTAATACCGCTGCGCAAACAGGTGGAGGTTCCCGTCAGACTCCTGATGCACAAGGCTATTTCCAATGACAGCAGGAGGCCCCCCCATGCCAAAGTGCAGCTAGAGCTCTTTGTTCGCAAAGAACATGCCCAGCCAGAAATCCTTCAAGTACGCAGCAACCCCAGTTCTTTCGACCTTGAGGCACACTTGGGGGTTTCACTACGTGTCAAAAGTACTGCTCTTTGCCTTCTCCACGACCCCGTTTCTCCAATGCGCATCTTATTCGATGGACAGTGGGGAACACAAGAGGGGGCAGGGGGAAGCTTGTGAAACGCCTTCACTGATTTGTGTTGAGGGTCGTGCCGCTTGAAGCCCACGCCGTAGCGTCGAATTCCTTCAACGCCGTGTTGCTCTGCGCTTGCTCCAGGAGCTGCAAGCGCTGCTTGAAGAGTACTGCTGGAGACGCCCAGGGGAGTGGAAGACTGATCAGGCCCCTACTGTCACGATCCGTGAAGACGCAACGGATGCGAATGCCCTCAAGGTAGCCCAAGACACCCCAACCGCATGCCGTGCTCGCCCTCTGCCAAACATTTCTCAATAGAAAAACAGAAAAGCAGAAGTACCGAGATCAGAGGCAGAGAGGCCAACACTGGACAGGTGCCACAGTGTGTGCGGAAGTGGCTAGACATGTGGATCGCCAGCTGGCGGCTCGCGGGAGTTGCTCTGTTTCGCTGTTGTTTGATTTGGGGGACTGTTGCAGATCGTTGTGTGCGCAACCCATCGGAAAAGTCACGATCATCCTGGCTGCATCCGCGCGTCCACAAACTCCCTGCGCTTGTAAACCCCACACTCTACAGAACCCCAGCCAATGCAGCAGGCCTCCTCTTCCCCTCCTTTTCCTCTTCCCGAAGCTTCCGATCTCGAATTCCAACTACTACTAACTACAGCAGTGCAGTCCTCAAGATATATATATATATAGCCTCAAAAGAGGTGGCGGGCAGTCGCAAAAATGCTTGTGCTCTCTCCATCTCGTGTGCTGTATCTCTGAGATCGCTGCTCAGGGCCGTCGCAAGATACTCCAACGAATTGAATGAGAAACTTACTCCTCCACTGCCTTCGCTCCGCCGTCAGAGCACTTTCTAAGGGGGTACACCAGTGGTGCGCACGGCGGTAGGTGTTCTTCCCTTGAGAGGGTCTGTGTGATAGGGCTCTCGGAGTGCAAAATACACGACTGCCCGTTGAAATCTAGGATCTTCGGCACTTAATCGGCCTTTAGAAGGCGAGATCTAATCCATTTGGCTGCAGAAAAGAAGACCTCTCTCGCAGAAGCCAGCTTAAAACGTACATAAGAAGGCGTATACGCAGATATACTTGTGTATATACGGGATGGATACGCATAGTTAAAAGGGAGACACAGCTACGCTCCTTCAGAAAAATTGTCTCACAACAAAGTTGCGCGCACACACGGGCACGTAAACATTTCCCAGATTCACATGGCAGAGGCATGCATGCGCATCTATCCGTCCGTGCACTCATATTTTCCCATTTTCCTCGTACGTGTGTGAGCGTGTAAGCGCGTACATACACACATTTGCATTTCGACGCTACTTCATGCAGGAAAGCAACGTTATATATCTCCTATAGATGCCTCTGTAGTCGCGCAACAAACTTTCCTGTGTGCGTGCAGTCGCTCAGACGCTTTCTGTATCCGGCCGAATATCTCTGTAAGAATGCGGCTTTGCATAAACCAACTGCTGTCTCGTTGCGGCGAGGCCCCTGCATTCGGGCAAAGGTGATTATTTACCCCGCCGCTGCAGTTGCTGCGGCAAAACTACCCGTGCTGCTCCTAGCAGCAGCAGCAGGAACATGCCTAGCTCCTGGAATTGGCGCCGAAAAGGCAATTTCCATCAACGCTTTCGCAAGCTTTTCCCCGGGGCCAAGGAGCAGCAGTGTCTGCCTCGTCTCTCTCTGCCTTGATTTGTTCACCTTGACCGTTTTCTCTCTCGCCTCAGCACTCCAGAGAAAACCGTGCAAACGAATTGTAATCAAGTCTATTCATACCTTTGACGTACACGCACAGCAGGGAGAATGTGTAGCGAGGCTCACTTCACGGCGCCTGGAGCTCTTGCCGCAGACACCAATAGCTTGCAGGGGCTGCTGCTGCAGCCGCTCTCTTGGTATACACGCACAGACGCAAAAGAGAGTAGCTGCAAACCAGACAAACGGCCTACTAGCTACGGTACAGGAGAGACAAGCACCACCAACTACGCAGAGCCAGGATTACTGCCACACCCCCACTCGACACCATGCTAGAGCTCCATGCAGCGTTCCGATTTCTCAGCACATGCAGACAAAGGTCAGGCCGTTGCTTCCGCAAAAGAGGCTACAGCAGCTGCCGCAGCAGCTTCCTACGCTGGGAAAATTTCTCATTGCCGCCGAAGCAGCAGCACTTGGAGCACAAAAATCAATCAGTAAAGCACGCGCTCCGTATGAAAGCCTTGGTCCGAGCCACGCACGATAGAAGGGAAGAAATCGGGGGGCAGGAACAGCCAGCACGGAAAGATAGGCACACTCAGAGAGAGAGACACATGCAAGCGTGCTTACAGTCTGAACTAGGGATACAAGTTGTGTGTGCACGAATAGATATCTCCAGAGAGAGACACATGCAAGCGTGCTTACAGTCTGAACTAGGGATGCAAGCTGTGTGTGCACGAATCGATATCTGAGGGGCAGGCAGATACGCGGTGAGAACAGTTCTGTGGCGGCTCAGAAGCCATGCGCCTTAACAACGGCAGCAAACGAGGGATGTATAAGCTGCGTATCACCGTCGAATGCAGCAAGAGGCTGATGCCATGCAGTCGGCAGGCCTTACACTTTGAGTCATCCATCCATCCATCACTCTTCCACAGTACCCAGTTACGAAGGGGTGTCTTTTGAGGGGATGTCTCCCAGCAGATACTGCTCTTGCTACGAATGTACAGAAAGCCCTTTATTTTGGCTGACGGTGTATAAACCCCCCTTGGTGACCTTCATGCCATTTCGTTTCCCACTGAATAAGTACCTTCTTCGTACTACATTGTCCACTACTCCCTATTAGGCCCAACATGAACGTCTACACCCCAGGCCGACACATTACCATGCCACGCAAAGACACAAAAAAGTATCTATCTACACGAGTATATACACCCATATATATATTTTTTTTCTAAAGAGAGGATGCGCGTACGTAGGTATGTTTAAACATGTAGCCATGTGTCGCCGTAGATATGTGTGTATACACATGCATGCATGTGTCTGTACGCAGAGATGTATGTATATGCATGCATACATTTACATTCATGTATCTACGTATCATGTCTCTATATGTGTAAATGTGTGTGTACGTGTGTATATTAATATATACATAAATATATATGTATATATTAATATATATATATTTATATGTATATTTACATGTATATTATGTACATACATACATTTACATGTACACATATACACATACAAATGCATATACCCATGTAGACTCTCTCGTGCATCGCCAAGCATTCCTTGAGCGGTAGACTGAACCAAGTTAAGGGGAGTACGACCACCATCGTTTGTGTATCGATCTAGGCATTTATCTGTACTTAAAGCCCTCCTGTATCCCTCCCCCCTGCGCTCTGCACGAATACCAACATATACATATATATATACAGATTTGTCCTTCCCCTCAGAAAGACAAGGGGCAAACAGAGGGTGCCGAAGAAGCAGCCGAGGGGCCACTACCGCGAGGTGACAGAGAAGCAGCAGCAGGAGCCAACCCGCATCTACTGCTGTGTTGCGAACTATGACTATGGTGGTACCAATCACTGGGAAGCGGTTCATCTACCCCAGATGCTCGTCGTGTGCTGCCGTCAAGGCAAGCCTCTGAACCTCCGCTACGAGGCAGCCGAGATCTCCGCTGCATTTCTGGAGGATCATCCTCGGAAGACGCTGAGGCAGCAGCAGGAAATACGTGGTGATGGCTACAGCGCGCTGCAGCAGCGACTAAGGGCCTCTTCTCATCTGCATGCGTTTCAACAGCAGCAACAGCAGCATACGACGTCGCATCGAGGGGGGCAAGAGGCACACGCAGCGCCTCGTCGTCATTCCATGGGCGCAACCCCAGCCGAGTCGCTGCCTCCGCAAGATCTGCTTCAGCCTCAGCGGCAACCACAAACTGCGAATCAGCAACCAGCTGCCTGTGCCTTCTCCTCCCCCAAATTCGCCGCTGCTGCTGCTGCCTCTCTTCTGGCTGCAAAAGCAACAAAAGATCGCGATCCGCCTGTCGACTGACGACTGCCGCCTCCTCCTTCTCCTGCCGCTGCTGCTGAGAGCCGTCTACGTACTGCAAACGACTCCAGCCGCCGTCTTCTTCCGCACACCCTCTTGGAGACGCCATAGTACTGCCAAGTAGACGCTTCAGCACTCTGGCTCTATGCCGTTGCTGCCTTCTTTCCTTCCCCCTCCGTCGCCTCTCCAACCGACTGGCATCCACGGCTCCCGTCGTAGAAGAGGCAGAGAGAGGCAGCTCCCGCCCCCCCTTGAAGCTATCGCAGAAGCTACCGTCTACAGACATCGTCCCCAAGCACCTTGGACTGATCTCGCTGCTGCTGCAGGAGTCATCCCCATACACCCCCGCCATTCTGCTGCTGCAGTGGGTTCCGCAATCCACGGCATCTGAAACTGCTGCTGCTGCAGTCGCAGAATGCTGCTGCACATTCCTTCCCCTCGGTGCATGCAAGCGCTCACTGTTGGCATTGTTGCTGCCGCTGCTCTTGCCACCACCATCGCAGCTCTCGCAGCTGCTGCAACCGCTCTCCGCCTCTGCCCTGTTGTGCTGCAGTCGTCTACTGCCCCTCGAGCAGCGGCAGAAACGACCTCCCCTAGGCAAACTCGCCTCCCTACAACAGAAATTCTCAAGCCCACCTCCCCCCCCTCGAGAGGGGGGGGGGTTGCTGCAGTCCTTTGAGAACGGATGCAACGCAACTGCCTCAAAACAAATGCCGCTTGATCTTCCCGTCGCTGCTGCCGCTGCTCTGGCTGCTGCTGCTGCCGCCTCCGTTGCTCTGTACTGGAAGGGATTGACTGCAACAGGAGACACCTCAACGTAGCAGTCGCACTGCTCCTTCTGCTGCTGCTCCTCCGCCTTCTGCTGCAGATGCTGCTTCTGACGATGCAGCTGCTGCTTCTGATGATGCAGCTGCTGCTTCCGATCATGCAGCTGCCGCTTACTGCGGCTGCACAGCGAAACACCCCGCTCCTGGAGAAACCATCGGTCCTCTTCATGCTGCTGAGTCTGGAAATGCTGCTGCTGCTGCTGCTGCTGCTGCTGCTGCCGATTCTCGTACAGCTCTCGAGATTCTGCCGAATACTGCTCTGCACCACTGGCGCCAGCGCTTTCAGCCCCCCGCTTCTGCTGCTGCTGCGGAAGCACTTGCCGCTGATGTAGTGGCTGCACCCGATGTTGCTGCGTTGCTCGCGTGTGCTGCTCCGAGTGGCACCATTGCTGCTGCTCCTCCTCTTGCTGCTGCTCCTCTTGTTGCTGCTCCTTCTGCTGCTGCTCCTGGATTTCCATCCAGCTACCCTCTGCTGTAGTCCATCCAGACGAAAAATTCATCGCCTCTGACCACGGGCTGCTGAAGATTCTGCTGCTGCTGCTGCTGCTGCTGCTGCTGCTGCTGCTGCTGCTGCTGCTATTGCTGCTATTGCTGCTGCAAAAGCTGCTTCTTCCACTGCTAAAGCGATCAGCATTAGCACTCGCAGCAGGCGGGAGAACGCCCTCAGCTCCCTGATTGGGAAGCACCGCCATTGCCCACGCCAAGTCGTCTTCAGCTGTATGCGCATTTCGCAGAAACTGCGAAGCCTCTGGGGGGCCCCTAGGGGGCCCCCCCAGTTCTCGGTAAGGCTCCAACCGATGTTGTCTGTGTCTGTTTGCCCTGCACTGCTGCCGCCTACTACTACGGGAAGGAGCAGCAGAGGTTAAAGAACCACGCAGCAAGCGGTCTACTCCTCCTTTGCTACAAGTGGCGAATGTTGCTGCCGCTGGAGCTGCCGGCAAAGAAGATGGGAGTCGCCAACGGGGGAAAGCATCTGCACAGCTCTCGTTGCTGCTGCAAACTGCAGCATCATTCGCTGCTGCTGCTGCTGGAGCACTATTGTACGCTGTACTCACGCCGTCCATAGGGTGCAGCAATGCCTGCTGATGCTGGTGGTGATGACGATGCTGTTGATTCTGCTCATGTTGCTGCTGCCCTCTCATAGCAGCAGCAGCAGGAGAAGACGCGTATTGCGGGAGCTCTAACTGCTTTTGACGGATAAGCTGCTGCTGCTGGTGTCGCAGCTCCTTCATCTGCGACTGCAACTGCAGCTGCAACTGCTCTAGCTGCTGAAGTTGTTCCTCCACACTGTCGCTTGAGAAGCACAAGGCTTCTCCTAACTGCGAGCACCTCCCATACTTCTCCAAAGCCTCTGCGGCTGCCGTAGCTGGGGAGCTTTTCCCAGTATTCTTCGCAGCTTCCGAGCTGGCAGCAGCAGCTGCAGCAGCAGCAGGAGCAGCAGCGAACTGCTCCTGCTGCTGCTGCTGCAAAGCGCCTTCCCCTAAAACAAGGCTGCGCTCGAACCCTCTAGGGGAGGAGCAAATCACCAGCCTCCCTTCCGAAGAATCTCCCGCAGCAAGAACGCCTGAGAACTGCCGCTGGCACGCGGTGTTTCCAACACATGAAGCAACAGCGCTGCTGCTACCGCTGCCTCCTGTCGATGCTGCAGAAGAAGGTACAGCCGCTGTCGTCGTGGATGTAATGCCTCGTGCATAGCTTCGAAAAGGGAGCGTAAACAGGGAGCGCAGCATGCCTGTTGCAGTGTTTGGCTGCTGTTGCTGTTGCTCCTCCTGCTCCTGCTGATGCTCCTGTTTCAGCTCTTCTTCCAGCTCTTGTTTCGGCTGCTGCTCTCCGCGAAGCGATTGCTGCCTGGGGGAGGCTGCAGGGAAGCGGTAGCTGTCGCTGCAGCTGGCACGCGGAGGCAGTGTTTCGCAGCAAGCCTGCTGCGGCAGCTCTTGCAGAGATATTGGCTGCTGACACTTCAGCATGAGCTGCATGCGCTGGTGCTGCCCCTGCAGAGAAGCCGATGCAGAAGCTGCTGCAGGTGCTGCTGCAGGTGCAGGCAGCAGACAGCGTCTGGAGACGCTGAGCGCAGGAGATGGAATAGCGACGAAATCCTCTGTCTGCTGGAGAGCTTTCTCCTCCTCCATTTCCCACCCCGGAGACGAGGATTTCTGTGTAGTATAGCTGCTGCAGCTGCTGCTGCAACTGCTGCAGCTGCTGCTGCAGCTGCTCCCACGCCTTTGAACCCCGCCTCCTCCTCCGCTGTCGAAGCTGCTTTGTCGATCCGTTGACACAGCGGCAAGCATGCCGTTTGACGCACATTCCAGGGCCCTTCGAGACGGCTGCAGCAAAACAGACCAATCCTGAGGGGATACCTGCAGCAGACAGGCAAGCGTTCTCTCCGTGAGCAAGCCTGTTTGACGCGGAGACGCAGGATTGCTGCGAAGCTGCCCTCTTGTTTGCAGCAGAACAAACCCTTCGGAAGACAAGACAGGATCTAGAGGAGACGCGGAGTTGGAAGGGCACGCATGCCGCCGCAAGCCTCCTCGAGCCTCATGAGCCTTATAATACTGCTGCTGCTGAAAATACTGCTGCTGCTGAAAGTACTGCGGCTGCTGCTGAAAGTACTGCGGCTGCTGCTGATAGTGCTGCTGCTGCTGATAGTACTGCGGCTGCTGGAATCCAAGCGAGGGATCCCATAGGTCCGCAGCAGGAGGCACGAACTCCCCTGACGCATGCAAATGATGCTGGATAGCTGGCTGCAGAGCCAAACACGCAGATGAGCACGCCTCCTGCATCCCCTGCTGCAAGTGATCCTTGCGCAGCGTGTGCACCTGCTGCTGCTGCTGCTGATAATGCTGCTGCTGCTGCTGATAATGCTGCTGCTGCTGCTGATAATGCTGCTGCTGCTGAAAATACTGCTGCTGCTGCTGCTGCTGCAACAACGCCTGTGGCCACGACACAGTACAGACACCCGCGGCAACAACAGCGCCTCCAAAACTCTCTCCGACAAATTTAACAAAACACCCACTCACACACAAAACACGTCGCAGCTAGCAGCAGCAACACACCCGCGTTAGCTCAACACAACGTCTACTCTACAACCTCTTCCTGGAGACTTTCCAGCTAGCTCGCCAGTAACTCACTAGGCAGCCTAGAAGCCACCCCGTTTCACCCCTGTATTCACGCGTCCAGCAGCTCAAACTGGAGGAAGGGCTTACTCTCTAAGAACAAGCGCGAAGGTGTCTCTCGCTGCTAGTTGCCTCTCACCTCTGCTCCAGCTAGCGAAGCTGCCGCACTCGGTAAGACCCCCACAGCCTCTTCTCCGTGAACCCTATGACGATAACAGCAGCTCCAACAAAAAATGCAGATTACGTATTGGTGCGCTATGCATGACGAGCATGCGCATGTCTACAGACATACATATATATATATATACACGCGTAGATACGTGGTATAGGCACATCCATTGAGGCGTGCATTCCCGCGCATATCTGGTGCACACACGTAGATGCAAGAACTCATGACGCACAATAGATGCTGCTCACAAACTCCATATGGTGATATGTATATATAGATATGTACACTTATTGATATTTATATATATATTGATGTATTTTCATATATATGTATAAATAGCTGTACATCCAGGAAATACATACACACATGGATTCCAGCCTAAATATACGGATGTATATACATATATTTATATTTAAATGCAGGCATGAGCAAGTATGTCCGCGCATAAAGCTGCATAAAATAGGATATATGCATGAACGAGTATATCTACTTACAGATAACTACACCGGGTCATGCAATGTCTGTTTGCATGCTTACGTTCGTCTTTGCTTATAACGAGATGTACCTACATATATATCTGTATGTATATATATATATAGATATATATATATATGTATGTACTGACGCATTTCTATTTAGGAGCAAAACACATATAGGTGACGTGAGAAAAACATTCCTTGAAATACCTATAATTACACCTCCTACAGCTTACGTGGCATTAAACCCGCCTTGCGCCACCGGTTGCTGCTCTTCCTCTTCTTGCTCTTTCTCTTCTTGCTCTTTCTCCTCTGGCTCTTTCTGCTGCTGCTCTCTCTGCTGCTGCTCTTTATCCTCGTGCTGCTGCTCTTTATCCTCGTGCTGTTGCTGCCGTCTCGGCTGTTGTACCTGCAGCGGCCTTCCAGCTGACAGGAGGCACGAATTTGGATGCTGCTGCTCGATACGTGCAACTTCCTGCTGCAGCAACTGCAGCTGAGATGGCGAACCCACGTAAAACGCGAGGGCAAAAGAAGCATTCAGATGAAACAATCCTTGTTTCCACGGTTTACTCCCGAAAAGAGACATCTGTGTTGCGAATCCAAGCTCAAGGGCAGGGGGCTGCAGCAAAACGTCATATAGGAGGAAAAGCAATGAAGGAAGAAGCGAGCAAGTCACCGCATCAGACAGATATGATGCTCTCCTAATGCAACCACGTTCGCTGCAATGCAAAACCTCTACCGATTTACGGTGCCTTCTGCCCGGCTCCCCAGCCCCTCCCCATGTCAGCAGCAGTATCATCAGCAGTATCAGCAATATTAGCAGTATCATCAGTATGAGCAGGATCAGCAGTAAGAGCAGGATCAGCAGTAAGAGCATCAGCAGTATGAGCATCAGCATCATCATCAGCAGTATGAGCATCAGCAGTATCAGCATCAGCAGCATCACCATCAGCAGTATCAGCATCAGCAGCATCATCAGCTTCATCATCAGCAGTATCAGCGTCATCATCATCAGCTTCATCATCAGCACCACCACCACTACCACCACCGGCAGCAACACCACCACTACCACCAGCATCAGCACCAGCAGCATCAGCACCACCACTACCACCACTACCACTACCACCACCACCACTACCACTACCACCACCACCACCACTACCACTACCACCAACCACTACCACCAGCATCAGCATCATGAAAAGTATCATCATCAAAAGTATCATCATCAAAAGTATCATCATCATCATCAGTATCATCATCAAAAACATCAGCATCATCAAAAGCGTCATCATCAAAAGCATCATCATCATCATCAGCATCAGCATCATCACCACCAGAAAATCGTCGGAGAAAAAACGCAGGGATGCTGCAGCAACTGCAGCAACAGCGAGGCCAACAAACCTCACCACCACCAGAACCAACAGCAGCAGCCACATACAACAACAGCAACAACAGGCAAAACAACAGGGAAAGGAAGAACAATATCGCCTCACCTGAATTCTGCAATGCGGATCGAGATACAGCATGCAGTCTCCTTGATAGCCGATGCAGAAAAAAGCCTGTTGCCCCTTTCCAGCGATCATTCCTAGAGACCACGGCAGAGACATGTACGCAACTAGAGGGCGAATGTAGATCTCATGAATGCCTTCTCCGCTGCTGACTTTGAGAGGAAACAGCAGCAAGCATCCACGTAACCACGTCGCACTGTTGTTGATCCTGCTGCTGCTAGTGTCGCTGCTCCTGTTCTTGCCGCTGCTGCTGTTCATGCCGCTGCTGCTGTTCATGCCGCTGCTGCTGTTCATGCCGCTGCTGCTGTTCATGCCGCTGCTGTCAAGACCACCCTTGATTGCATGCGCTTCCCCGTGAAACGACTTCTGCCAGCAGCCAGCCTGCCTCGCAGCGGATTCAACGGGGGGTAGCACCACGCCTTCATGGCAGCCGCTATTCGGAACCCTCGCATTCTCTGCAGCTGCAGGAGCTGCATGCCTTCGAGTAGCATCAGTTACGCTTTCCATGTTTGCTCGCATGCTCTGTGCATCCTCCTGCCCCTCCCGCCGGGCAGTCACGCTGCTCGAGTCTCCGATTTTCTCAGAAGAATAGCTCAAAGCTTCGTTGTGGAGGTTCTCTGCAGAGGCTCTCCCTCCCCGTCCAGCAGATGACGCGTCTACAGGCGAAAATGCACAAGCAGCTCCGCCTTCGTGGCTCTGCTGAGACTCTGCATGCTTCCCTCCAATCGGTTCTGGGAAAAACAGCAACTGCCCCGACTTCGCGGCGCTGCTACTGCTATTGCTATTACTGCTGCTGCTGCTATTGCTATTACTGCTGCTGCTATTGCTATTACTGCTGCTAATGCTAGTGCTTCCGTCGATGCTGACGCTGGTGCTCTCGCCTTCCGTTGAAGAGAAAGACAGCGATGGCACATCTTCCCAGTCATCGTCTCCGCAAGTCTGCGGCTGTTGCGTTTTCTGCTGCTGGTGTCGCCGCCGCAAGGCAGCAGCAGCAGGAGGAACGCGAGGCACTGTGGTGGGTAGGCGGCACTGCAAGTCGATTTCTCGGGGATCTAAGAGGCCATCCGCATCCAAATAGACGTATATTTCCCCCTGCGAAGCCTCGCAAAACAGCGGCAGAATGCATGCAGTGCTTATCGAATAGTGCTAGTACGGCTGTTGTTGCTGTTGCTGTTGTTGCTGCTGTTGTTGCTGCTGTTGTTGCTGGTGCTGCTGTTGTTGTGCAGCAACAGCAGCAACATTCCCCTCCCCTTCTTTTCTCCTCCTTCCTCCCCAGCTTCCTGCCGTGCAGAACCTGTCCTAGTCATCACCTCCTCATCACCTGTTCCCCCCGAAATGCGAGAGAGCATGCATGCATGCATGCATGCATGCATGCATGCCTTGCTACCCGCCCCCCCCGTTGCCATGAAGGGCACTTCTCTCGCGATGATGAGGAAGGCAAAGGCAAACTCAAAATGCTGCCGTGCTCCGCCTTACCGCTGTAAACGCAGAAGACTCTACAAGCAGCTTCAGAGCGATAGATGCGGTTGTAGGACCAAACCACTCGCCAGCAAACTTCCCGATAAGTCTCGAGTCTATCGCGCTGATGCCTCTGTCTAACACGAGGGCAGGAGGTGGCTGCGCTTCTTCTCCCCCCGCTGACAGAGAACTCTCCGTCTGGCACTCATGCAGCAGTCCTCCCTGAGGCACTACTTGTGTTGACGTGAGCTGCTGCTGCCGCTGCTGCTGCTCTTCCTCTTCCTCTTTCTCTTCTTCCGTCCTCGAAATCGGTGCAGCACACCCCACAACGCCTGCCGCAGCAGCGCCTTCGCTCGACGCAACCTCGGAAAGAAGGACTGCTGCTTCTGCAGGATCGACACCACCCTCGACAGCTGCTGCGAGAGGCAAACGCTGGTGGCTAGCTGCTGCATGTGCCGCTGCTGCGCTGGAATGGGAAGAAATCGATGCTGACTCGACAAGCGACAGTGCAGCTCCTTCTTGTCCTCCTGCTGCTTGGAATGCTGATAAAGATTTCACGTTTACGCCTCCGCCTCTTACAACTCCTCCTTCTCCTACTACTCTTGCTCCTCCTATTCCTCCTGCTGCTGCAGAAATCGCTGCAGCCGCACCAGCGGCTGCAGCGATTTCTACGACTGACGGAGAATCTGGAAAGGGGGATGGATGGCGCTGCTGCAGCAGCGCCTCCTCAGCTGCCATTTTCCCGTACAGACTGCGCGCCCACCCAATCCCCCCCCCTGCAGCTCTGACAAAAGAAAAGATGGAAAAGGGATATTGATCTGGTGGCGAAGGCACATCTAAGAACCACTGCAGAAGATCTCCTTCTGAATAGGCAGTCCGCGATGTCACTGCCTTGCCGTCTCTAGGGGTGTTTTGAATATTTTGACTGCCAGCGGCAGAACCAGCTCCATCCTGGCTACCAGCGTTGCGTGAATCGCTCTCACGCGCTGTCAAAGCCTCTGAGCTGCTGCTGCTACTGCTACTACTACCCGCTTCTTCAGCACTCTCTTGCTGCAGCTCTTGCTGCTGCTCTTGCTGCTGCTCTTGCTGCTGCTCTTGCTGCTGCTCTACAAATAAACTCTCATCGCCGAGATGCCTCTCAGGAGCGACAGGCTCTCCAGCAGCTGGCTGTGCAAACGGCCCCGCCTCGAAAAAATGCCGTCTTAGTGCCTGTAAAAGCAGCATTTGCGCTGCTCTGATGGTGCACCCCCACCCCACATCGCTAGTGATTGCGATCCAGCTGCGTTCGAGCACCATAATCCCCTGCCCAGAGCTGCCGGCTGCTGCGCTGCCATCGCGGCTGCTGTTACACCCGCCGTTGCCTCCGTTGTTCCCTCCGCTGCCACCCTCGCCGCTGGAAGACTCTGCAGCCGTCGCGACTGCCACTTCTTCTGCAGAGGCAGCAAGGCGCCGCTTCTCGCTGCAGCAGCGGTAAATCGGAGAAAACCCCGTTCTATACGTAAAACGAGCCAAACATGACACAAAATTCAACAATTCTTGCTGCACAAGCTCCGGCTGAACCGACGCACAAACAACAGACAAGGGATGGAGATGAACTCCCGGCTGCAAGCCGTCTACTTCTTTTCGATAGAGAGTTCCCCTGCTGCTGCTGTTGCTGCTGCTGTTGCTGCTGTTGCTGCTGCCCGTGTTGCTGTTGCGGCTCCTACTCCTCGTGCTGCTGCTGCTGCAGCTGCTACACCCTGTCTTTTCATGATTGTGCCTCGCAGCACCCGCTTCAGAAGCCGCATGCGCATGCCACGAGCCTTTCGCGACAACTCCGTCTTGCCGCAGCAGAACGCCTCCCCCAGATGCCGCTGCAGCCTCTGCATTCGCATGCATGCGAGCCGACGCTGCAGACGCTCTTCTTCTGCCTTCGCCGCTACACAGTCTGCGCAGCTGCTGATACTGCTTGTGACACTGCTGGTGCCGCTTCACGATTTGCTGCTGCTTCTCATTCAGCACCCAAAACACCTTTCCCAAAACTACCGCAGTTTCCCCCTGCTGCAACAAGCCTCCCTCCTGAGGACCAACCCATGAATTCGTTGCTGCCGCTGCTGCCCAGTTGTACAAATTATGCCTCCAGCTGCAGAGGGTAGCACCTACATCGTGTTGCAGCTGCCGCAGCGAACGCACTCGAGGAAACAACGCAGCGCTACCCCGAAGAGAGAGCCGGCTGCTGCTGCTGCTGCTGCTGCTGCTGCTGCTGCTGCTGGCGGCGGCGGCACTGGTGGTGGTTGTAGAGGAAGTGGTTGTAGAGGAAACGGTTGTAGAGGAACTGGTTGTAGAGGAAATGGTCGTAGAGGTACAGGGGCTGGTTCTCTCGTCACCAATGAGGCACACAGAAGATGCTCCCGAGGAATTTGTCTCCGATGCAGTTACGCTGCCACTTAGAGTCGCAGTAGCAGCCGATGGTGGTTGTTGTTCTTCTTGATGCAACTGTTGTTGCTGCAGCTCCTGTTGTTGTTGCAGCTCCTGTTGTTGTTGCAGCTCCAGTTTTTCTTCTTGTTTTCCTCTAACAATGCCATATCCGCTAAGAACTTGACGAGGGAGGTAGTGGTGGCTGTAGGCTGCTGCTGCTACTCCTGCTGCTGCTGCTACTCCTCCTGCTGCTACTCCTCGTGCTGCTACTCCTCCTGCTGCTACTCCTGCTGCTGCTGCTGTTGAAGCGCATTGTGCAGACGAACTCTTATCGGAAGGAGTACACACTTTGATGCGGTTACCCCCTCTACGGTTGCTCCTCGGATGTCTCCCTCCGTCGCGACTGCGTGATGCGGTTGTTGTGAGTGGTGGGGTTGCCTCTTCTGCGCCTGATGACAGAAGTGGTTCCTCGGAGCTGCTCGGCTTAAGCACGCAGCTAAAAGAGGCAAATCTCTCATGTTGCTCACTTACAAGCTCCTCCCCAGCTGTTGCTGCAGAAGCTGCTGCAGAAGCTGCTGCAGAAGCTGCTGCAGGCAGCTCTTGCGATGAAAGCCGCTGCAATTCGCTGCTGACAGCCAGTGTATGCGCGAATGAGGTGCTTAGGTCTGCTGCTGCCGCTGCTGCTGCACCACCAAGAGGCTTACTTACAAGATTTCCCTTGACGGCTTGCTGGTGCTCAGGCTCAGACTGTTTCAGCCGCTCTTGCTGATGAGGCACTTCCTCCTGGATGTGCTTCTCCTTGACTTCTTGAGAGTGCCTGGACTGCTGCTCCTCCCGCAGAGACAGGCAACTGTACAGTTCAGCGTCTGCAAGAGCTTCGCTTTTATCAAAAGGAGCTGCGTGAGGAGGAGGCGTGCTTGCATTTTGGAGGGGGGGGGGTTCCTGCTCTTGCTGCCCCTTTCGCAATTGCGTTTCGTGATGCATTGCTGCTGCAGCGGGAAAAGTAGCAGCAGCCATTTAGAGGGGAGCTAGAGCAGCAGCAGTCGTCAATATCCAGCTGCTGCGGCTGCTGCTGAGGAGCAGCAAGGCTGCTTCTGCCGCCTTCCCCTTGTTGCCGTCTTCAAAAGATGTCTAACAGCTCCTGCTGAGCAACTGTTTCGAAAAAGCAGCTCTCCTTCGTCCTCCAGCTACTCTGATGCTTCTCCTCGTGCTTATGCCCCCCGCTGCAAAGGCGAACCAAAGCAGCAACTTTGTATTTGGATCTCTGGAGAAGCAACACGACGCACATGGCTGGTTAGGTGCTGCTGCTGCTGCTGCTGCTGCTGCTCGTGTACTTGCTGCAACAGCAGCAGCTGCTTCTGCTGCTGCCGTTGTATATCAAAGCGGCGCGAAAGGCACGCGAGAAGCGGCGCAGTTTCTCACGCTGCGAGAAAATGTTGCTGGCTGCTGTAGAAAGGTGTCTTGTGGCTAGTGTGAAGGTGTGTTGTACAAACACACACAAACACACACACGGATATCGGCGAGAGGCGAGTGTGTATCTTGTGGCAGCCCACAGGAACAGGAGAAACACGACAATGCTTGCCCAACCTCCCCGTCGCTCTCGGGTGTCACTACAGGAGAAGATGCTGCCAACAGGCACCAGCAGCCACCAGCCCTCCCCACTCCCCACTCTGACCAGATGGAGAGATCGGGTAAGAGAGTGATGGGAAGTGAGAGAACGTTGTCAGACTATGGAGCACCTGTTTGAGGCGCCCTCCGCTGCTGCTGCTGTTGCTGCTGCTGCTGCTGCTGCTGCTAGTTGTGCTCTGATGACTCCCCTGCTGCTGCAGTCTTGCGAGATGCTGCCGCTTCTGAACGGATGATGTCTGGGGAAGAAGGAGACGTGTGGAAAAAGATGCGGCAGGAGTCGTCTAAAGAACACGTGTAAGGTACACTTGCTGCTGTTTTCAGCGCCTTGCTGCTACTACACTGCTGGTGCTGCTGCCTGTGCCGATGCTGCAGCCGCTGCAAGAAAGGGAAGCGAGGATGATCGGACCGCTATCTTGAAGCGGCTACTGAAGAGGGAGCAACTAACGGGATCTGCTACAGAAGCAACAGAGAGAGACACACACACACACGCAACAATGCCCACCGCAGCAGCGACCGCAGCAGCAGCTGCAGCAGCAGCAGCAGCTGTGCAGCGTCAGTACAGGACGGCACAAAACACCGTCCCAAGGAGAGAGAACAGATAAAGGGAGGGAGAGCTTCGTTGCCGCTCAAAAATGCAAACAGCTTCTTGGGAATGCTTCTCAAATTAAATCGTAAATTTCCCCCCCCCCCAAACATCCGACACTGGCCACCGTCAGAGCCAGCGGTCCACCGTTGCTGCTGCTGTTGCTGCCGCCTCGGTGCAGCTTGCGGTGTATCTACACCACACACGGGAACTTCTGTTCATTTCGCCTTGTTTTGCAATTTTAAAAAAGAACAGTTCTGCGTTTCTTTCCGTGTGAAGTGTGGCGAAACGCGTGTACCGTAGAGAGGCTTTGCCCGTGGTTACCTCCCCCCAAGCACTTCGCGCTGCAGACGTGGCACAGACTGCTAGGATGCGCAAGGGAGCGGGAGCAGTGCTAAAGCAGCCGCCTCGACGAGTGTCTCTTGGCAAGCTGGTTGTTTTGCGCCACTTTTAGTGTTTAAGATGCCGAAAAACTGGGGTGGTGTCGCTCCTTGCCGCCACGCGCAATGCTATCCGTACGGGGGGGGCCTCCTGATGCAACTTCACCTCAAGAAAAAACCTCCAACATCGGCACGGAGAGATGAGAGTTGCCTTGCCCCTGCCGCCTCTTCGCAGCAGTGTATTGCTCACCCAAAGCCTCCCTTTTGTTTTGTTCGCTGCCATCCAGTAGCGTAAAACTGCCACCAGCACCGCTACTCAGTGCATGTGGCACCTCCCTAGGGATTTTGCCGTTAGAGGGCTGGCGGGATGCATGCCTTGAGGGAGAGTGCGCTAGTGCTCAGTGTACAGCGAAGCAACAACCTCTAGCCCTCACTAGCAGTGCCATCACACAACGCAGGTGTCTAGTGCTGCAATGGCACCAAAGGCGTAATCCCCGGCTGCAGCCCAAAAGGCTCGACACCCTCATATATTGAAGACCACCCACCCTAAATTATCGAAGGCCTCATTCAGGCTCTATCCAATGAGAAGACCTTTCACTGCGCGACATGCCTCTTCCGAGAGGATGTCAGGCGCACCTCCATCATTGTAGAAGCGGGCTATGCTAAACTCAGCCACTTCCTACTGCACCAACCAAAATGATTAGTGAAGAATTGACTGACTGGTTGTCGGTTCGTAGATCGCAATGTTGCGGGCATGGAAGCAAGATGCTTTCTCCAGCTAGCTGTACATACTCGCTCGGTGTGCCTAGAGGGTAGTGCAGCCACGGGCCCTCTAACTGCCTCTATTTCTTCATGTCAAGATCTCCGAAAACCACGGGTAGGGCAAAGAGGGAGCTATCTGAGAAAGAACAGTCAAAGACGCTCTACTAACTTCGTGGTAAGGTTGGAGTTATGTCGCCGCCCCCCTCACCCCTCCCCCAACACAGTGACGCCCAGTCTTAGATCTCCTCGGAGAGACACTAGACTTTGCAGTCCTTACAGAATAATAGGAACGTGTTAAGTGTTTATTCGATTGAGCCACCTTCTTCACGTCCTTGCCCCCCTCAAGAATTCGACACAGGGGGGGCTACTTTAAGCGCCAACAAGGTTCTCAACAAATCTGGAGAACTTTAAAACTTTTTTTGGAAGCCAATGTTGACATATTTGTGCCGCCTACAGCTTTTCGGAAATTTAACGAGTAAGCAAGAGCACTGGTGCGTGTTCGAGGTGTCAGGTGGTCCTAGCTACCTACCTGGCCGCAAGTTACTTCGCCGTCACAGTCTGGTGTATTTCACAGAGCCACCCCATCTACCAGGACCAAAGCTCCAGGCTCGAAGCACATCCCCCAACGCCGCCTATCAAATTAGGTGTTTAGTTTTTTGAGCTGTGCGCATATACTCCTGTGCACTGTCCAGCTATTCTGTGATTTTTTTCGAGTCGGTACGGCTGGCTGCCGACCCCAGATCATCAGGCCCCCGGCGATTTTGAAGAGGGAGGGACACTTTAGTGTAAACCAGGAATGCGGGAAGCAAAGAGTAAACACGCGCAGTGTTGGAATATAGGCTACTCAGTACAATGAGGAAAACCATGCCAAGAAATTTGTGCTTTTTGGTGAACAATAAGCCGCAAAAAAATGCAAATGGATGCGCTTGGCGTTCTCTATGTGCCTATCCGCCTCATGGTGTCTCGCAGCAATCGCATTCTAGTAAATGTGTAGACGGATCATACAAGTGCCCAGAAAGCAGTAATGGACTTCAAATCCGCTGAAACTAGCTGGGATAAGGTAAGAGTAATTGAGAGACTTGGTGCGCACGAACTAACGAGGCGAGAGATGAAAGGGGCATATTTTCTAATGCTGTCGGTCAACAAACAAAGCAGATGCTATCGTAAATCTTCATACCCAGCAGTCCAAAAGCAAAAGCCATGTTTTAATCATTTTAAACCTTGCAGTAGCCTGAAAAGTCTGCGAGCTTCCGGGTTGATCAGAACAGCGCAGCTTCGGCTGTTGACAATCTACACATAAAAATGCATACCCCTGTGCCTCTGGACGCATACAAGGCCACCAGAGGAATCATGAGACCATTTTTCAACTGTTGTGTGAATCTTACGTTGGCTCGAAAGAACCTGAGCCTGTACTTTGCGCAAAACGGCATTGCAGGATGATGTCGGGATGTACAAGCGACACTGTCCCTGGAGTGTCTTGAAGATCACAGCAAGTCATGCTCGACATAATAGTGATCACCCCTTTTCCGTTCTGGCTTCTGGAAGCGGTAGCGGGTGCATGCGTGTCAGCAGCACAAGGCTAACACAATGTTGATCGAAACCGTTGGTCATCACAGATAAGAGTAGCACAAAAGGGAATGCTGAGGCGTCGCGCAAACGCGCTGACGACCATGTTGGTGATGCCCCTTCTACATTTCACGGGAGTTTCTCCCTACACGAGGCGCCTAAGCGTGAAAAATATCTATGGAGTTGTCAACTTGCTCAAAACTATGCTAAAGTAAACTGAAGGCTGATGGTTAAGCTAATCAGCGCACATATAAATAGTACAGGCAATTTTCTAGGTCCCACCGGAATACATAAGGTCCTTTTGCCCGCATTAGGTACGACTGATCAAATTCGGTGAAATAACAAAGATAAAAAGCAAGTATTTGGGGCTTAGGAAAAGCAATAACTTTTCGGGAAAAACTACCACCGATCATCATCTTGTAAGCACCGGGTCTTAGGTAACATTGTCGCTCATAATAGGGCAGCGCGAGCACTGGAGGGGTTGGAAGGCAGCAGACATGAGTCCTCGCTGAGGCGTCAGCCTTTCTTGTCCAGATCGCGGACTGCGCGCTTTCATGATAAAATTAGTCAACCGAGCAGCTATCTCGACCACCCCAGAAATGGAATTTCGGTGATACGATGCAAGCCCTCAGAACTTCGCAACAACCTGGCGAGTACGTGAAGGGCAGAGTAACGCGGCAGTATTTGACTCAATTCGAGCCGGCTAAAAGCAAAGCGCTAATAAAACAATTGCTCTCAGGTAAAACGAACACTCTCTTGCCTTTGCAAACCACTGCTTGCCCTGCAACAGCTTAAGCGCATTCCCGAGTATGCTGTTGGTGCCCTTGAAGGTTTTAGCTGGATAACAACTCTCCGTCTATGTAGACAGCCATGCAAATTCCTGTGGATAGGCTCGAATGAATCCCGAGTGACTGGACATTGCAGTATAGCTAGGGCATTTGCAGTGCCATTTGGGGGTACTTGAAGTGGTGAGTTTACATGTCGAGCGCCCTTTTGTGCGTATCATCGAAGTGACTAGAGCTTTGTGTGTGAGCATCTGTAAAGACAGGGGTCGCATTAATGTTCGATCATACGTCGCCCTCCGTCGCTTCTCCGTACCAGCACCACGTCGCACCAAAGAGGCTGCTCGATTCCTATACTTTGCCTGCTTCCAACAACCATTCGGCTACCGCCCAATCTTCTCTTCATGGTGTGAAGGCTTCCAATACTGCGGAACACAGATTGAGGATCGCTCAGGGATTAAGTTAATACGGTGCACTGAACAATCAACAGGTAGCCAGCCTGCTGGTAGCTCGTCATTATTTAGCAACTTTGTGTTATCCTTTACGGTGCCATTCCAACTGTTTCACGGCCGACAATTTAAATGGATCATCTAGAAGCAACCTGTTGCAGAGCTACTGGAACGAGATGCATACTCATAGCTGCCTTCTCCCACCGCCTTGCTGATCCGTCAGCATGAAGACTCTGCCACACCGTGTCGAGCTACCGAACACAGCCCCCTGGCCATAAAAGGGAATGAGCGTTATTAAGGTAGTCAGGAGATGCTTTTCTAACGCTTCCTGGAGCATTGCTCTCTACGTTTGCACCTGTAGCAGCATGCACACCGTCCAGTGGGTCATCCATGGCAAACCTGTGATAATGCCGAAAAAGTGAAAAATGGATCAACACTGACGCCAGTATAGGTGATTATCTCGACTGGAGCTGACTTAAAGTGTCGTCTAACCGCCGGCACCTTGCAAATTCTTGCGTTCTGCCACCGTTAATCAGCCGGAGCCATAGGACCCGCGCCGACGCATGAACCGGAAGACTGCACTTCTGCGCTGCCTTTTCGGACAAAATATCCACTTTGCCTTCCATGCAAAGCTCTACCAGTTCTCGACCAGTAACATGAGCTCGAGTGTATCGACACAACGTTGACCTGTGGTGAGATCTCCATCGTGGATCCTCTGTAGCGCCTTTCACTGCGTCGCCGCATGCGCGGAGACTACTCTGTTTTCCTGATGTGCCGCCTATGCTTGCCAAGCACACTGCTTTACTGGCACCTAGTCCTGTTGTACAAGGTTTTTTGACTTCACACGCACTTGCAGTTCCGGACTATGCGACCTAATTTCCCACAAGAAAAACAGATGAGTTGTTGGGGTGGGGGTGTTTGGGGTTGCTCAAGGGCACATGTTGCCTTTGGCTGTCTTTTCTCCTTTGCCGTAGACTCTAGGCTTGAGGGAACTGGCACAGATCCGACTTCCGCAGGTTCTGGATCCCGACATGGCTCTGTCTTCTGAGCCAAAGACGTAGGAGTTGAGCTTGTTTGTTCCTGGAACCAAAAGCAGTCCAGCATTTGTGTAAGCCACACCTGTCGCTTGTTTACTGGGTCGGTCGCTGGCTAGCCTACAGCCACCTGACGTAACACTTCGGGTGCACCGGAGATTAACCAGTTGTAAAGCAGCTCTTGTTCTAGGCTGGGACGTTCACGAGACACAACTCCGTATACCTCCGTATACCAATCTACTGTTGACTTCCTCTGCTTTAGCTCTCTTAGTATTTCCAAATCTAGTTGTTGAGTTGACCTTCGCACAAACCGATTTAAGGGTTGCATGAAGGCTGCAACTGAGGTGCTACATGCAGGCAGCACCTTTGAAGCATGTCTCCATTGGATAGACATTCAGCTGGGAAAGCTATTTTTCCCTCATCTGGGGGCACAACGCAAGGGGCATCTTCGAAGGCTGCTTGGATCTTTGAGTACTTGCCCATAGTTGCAGCCGTCATACTTTTCCGTTTGGCGTAACCACTTCGACGAATCCATGAAGATTTAACCGGCTAAAAGATCATGCCTTGACCAGCTGCTGAGGTGCGCCGGAGCCATGCTAACCATTACTGTATCGTTCCAAATTAAATAGATGGCACTCCCGAAGGAGGCCATCCTATACATTAACATGGGTTTGGACATGCGCCCTTGCTGCCCCAATAAGGCGTTTTGCTACCGTCAACTTCCATTGCCAAAGGTGTGCTTCCTCTCGTAGTGTTGCCGAAGAAATCAAATAGATAACTTAGCAATAAGCTTACTGAAAGCAAATAACCTGTTGGAGGAAATCCTGACAGCCCAATGTTTTGAGAGACAATGGATAAAAGTTGAACAGCTCAATCGGACCGTGGGATGCTGGCGACCGGAAAGTTCCACTTTCAGGTTTCTGTCACGAGACACCTGACTTCTGATTCAACAAGAACTTAAATGAGCGTTATTGAGTGCTTCTTAAAAGAGCCCATTCCTTCCTTATGCTCCTCAGAGTTTCCATATGGGCGGGGAGAAGGTTATCTAGCGTGGTGCCCGTGCCTGCACCCTCTAGGTACTAGAAGCATTCACAGCTAGTTGCAAAGAGCATCTGGAGCGAATGCACACACAATTGCTTCCTCTTGTGCGGGGCCGAATTCGATAAAGGAATAAGATGTAGGAATAAGAAAGCCACTAGGTTATAGCGAAATAGTAAGTGGAATGGTAGGAAGTGATTAGGTGAGGCTTGGGCTGGTGCACAAACGACCGCTGGAATAAGCATCCAAGATTACTGCGCACAGTCTGGAAGAATCCTGCGCTTTTGTCCGTGAAGCACCCTCCGTTCCGTAAACAGTATTCGATGCACTGTTTGTGCGTTACTGTTAGGGTGCTCTCGCATCCATGTCGAGCCTTCACCAAGCCCTGTGTTACAGGGGTCTCGTCCAGGCGCAAACGTGGACTACTTCGATTTGCGTGCATGATTGCACAGAGAGAAAAACGAGCTAACCAGTCACATTGCGGCTTGGTATGGTTTCCTTTTGAGCTCAGATAAGACCTTTCGGCCTTACTGCAAGTGGTTTGGGCAGGCAAGCGCTAATCCTGGGAGCGACTGGGCAAGTTTTCCCAGATCGATTACAACATCGAGGGGGTGCAAAAAACAGCGTACGGAGATCCTGCTCGCGCATAACTCATGCAGGTGTCGGGGGGCCTTTTCGTTCAGTGTATACAACAGGCTTCAGTGTATACAATAGGCTCTGGCGGCTGTAGGCCAAGCGTTACAGCTAGCTCCCCTAGGGGGAACGTTCTAGGGTTCGAGGCGCAATGTGCTGCAAAGGGTAACCCATAGACTGCTGCCTGCGCTGCCAAAGCGCGTGTCTTGCGTTGGATCCATAGGGGGCTCCCCACCTGAGGAATCGGAATAGCAGAATGCATAGAGGACACCGGGTACAGTCAATTCGCGCACCCAGACTCCAACGCTCTAAAAAGCCGACTATTTATGACCATTCCTCCCCGAGACTACGAGCGCTTCAACGTATCAGGGGTAGGATCGGTTTTTCGTCATGCGAGTCGGTCCTTTCACGGTGTGTGTGTGTGTGTGCATAGAGACGCAACAGAGCACACTACCCGCAGGCGCAGCGAAAACCCACTCCTAAAGGTTGTATTCAAGATTGGGGCATCTATGCTCGGCGAAACTGGCATTTTCTAGGCACAGAAGGCGCTATGTAGAGGGGGCCCCTCTGTATCAGGGGGCCCCCCAGGGAGTTCTTTAGTGCGGCGGGGGCGGGTGCTGCGGCATAAATTACATTGATCCTTATGATTTTAGGACCCCTAAGCTCATAAATACTTGCAAAAGGCAGCGCTGCAGCTCAGAGTTCAGAGGTTTCGCTTCTGACGTTTTCGACGCGCTGTCGTGACACTCCAACGGCGGCACTAGCAGCAGCGGGGGTCGCTAATCCTGCCGTGCTGGGCTATGCGCCTCAGCTACACACAGCCGTACTGACGCTTAGGAGGCAGTAGAGCGTCCTGAGGGGAACTGACCATCGTGGAAACGGTGGAAGGAGCAGAAAGAAGACAGGTTGTTACCGTCGTGAGGCTCCATCATTAGGCATGTCTGTACATTCTGCTCAAGAGGCTGCAGCGGGAGCTGCAGCGGAAGCTGCAGGAAAAAGCACAGCAGCAACAGTGCTGCCCTCTCCCCCTGCGCCTCAGCCTGCGTGCTGTGCACTTGCCCCCCCGCTGCTCAAGGAAGCTGCACCTTCTCAGCAGCGGCAGCAGCAACAAGAACCACAGCGAAAGCAGCAGCATCCCCGCGAAGAGGAGCGGCAACAGCTGCTGCTCTTGCAGCCAGAAGAGAAGCACCAGTCCTTGAGCGCAACAAAAGGTCCCCCCGCACACACTGCGGGAGAAGCTTCACAGGCAGTGTCGCAGACAGAAGCAGCGGCAGCAGGCACCCCTCCGCAAGCCCCCTTTGGAGCCGAAGAAGGAGCAGTGCAGACTGCAACTACAGAAATGCCTCCTCCTGTTCGAAGTGGAGCAAGCCAAGATGCAGCATCAGACGCTGCGGCAGCAGCAGAAGCTGCAGCGCGCGCAGCTTCAGAGGCTGAAGAAACAAGCGCAGCACAAGGTGGAAGCGTTGATAGAGCAGCTGCACACGCAAGCAGTCCTGCCTACACGAAAGTCGAGGCGGGAGTTGTGGACGAGGCTGCAAACGGAGGAGGCTCTGCAGCGGCAGAAGGGGTACATGTTGCAGGCACACAAGCGGCGTCAGAAGTCGAAGGATTGGAAAGACTTGCACCATCGTTGCCTCCAGCAGCAACAGACAAAGCGAAGACGGCCATAGGACGGCGCGCGGGAGAAGCAGAAGCAGAACCATCGGCTGCGTTCTCAACCCCTCAGCTGCGCGTATGTTCACATGGCTGCGCAAAGTCGCCAGTCAGAAACAGTCTCGGGAAAGAAATCTCCGAATGTTTCCCGTGCGAGGCGTCAACAGGGCACCTTTCTTCTCATCCAGCAGCCGTGGAGGCAGCCATGCAAGCCGCGCAAGCGGCTTCCGTCGCGCCAGCAGAAGCAGATTCAGAAACAGCAGCAAAAGCAGAAGCAGAAACGGCAGCAGCAGACGCATCAGAAGAAGCAAAGGCAGAAATTGCACCAACAGAAACTGCACCAACAGAAACTGCACCAACAGAAACAGCACCAACAGAAACAGCACCAACAGAAACGGCACCAACAGAAACTGCACCAACAGAAACTGCACCAACAGAAACTGCCCCAATACGCGAGAAGGAAGAGCAGGAGGCTGAAGAAGAAGCGGAGTGGTTCCTTCTGAAGTCGATCAAGGTGTTTGGAGGCGTTCAGCATATTTTGCTGCAGAGTCGCAACGGCGCTTGCCCCCTTCTTGCCATAGCCAACGCATTGATCCTCAAGGGGAAATTACAATTGCCTCATCGGCAACAAGACAAGCGGCAGCAACAGGATGACGAGGCTGAGGAGCTGCAGCGCATCAGCAGCAGCGAGCTCTTGCAGTATCTGTCTGAGTTTCTCTTGCTTCAGCATGCTGAGTGCACACAAGATCCAGAAGCTCTCGCTTTCACGATCAACGATGCAAGCGCCGCTGCTGCTGCCGCTGCCACTGCTGCTGCTTAAGCCGCCTCGAGAGCATGTTTTTTCATGTTTGTGCATTCTTGAGTGTGCTTATTTGTGTGCATGTGGATGTGTATTTGTGTATCCTTGCTTGCGTCCTCTCTCCTCAGTGTGAACGCATGCGTCTTCTCCGACTGTTCGCTGCTATAGCGCCACTCTGCTGTGCTGCTGCTGCTAATTTTGCTGCATCTGCATCTAATAATAAGTTCGCCAGTAGGCCGCCACTACGGCATGCGTGCCTGTTGATGCAAGGAGAAGGAAGGTTGGGAAAAGCTGCGCAGCGAATGGGTGTGTGTGTGTGTGTCTGTGCTTCGAGAGGCAGTCGTTGCTGCGTGGTTGCTGCTCACCACGCGGTGTTTCTCTACACGCTTGCGTGTGTATATTATTTTCTCTCTGTGCAGGCAATGGATTTGTTGCCCTCGCTGCTGCAAGGACTGGATCTGAACGTCCACTTCAGCGCCATTGATGCCTTCGAGTTCACGCGGGCTGTTTCGCTTTTTGATGCCTTCGGCTTGCGACTGCTTCACGGCTGGAGACCTCTTCGAGACAAGGCACATCGTCGGAAAGCGGAGGCGTCTGCAGTTGTGGGTGCGTCGTCTGCTGTTGAGGCTGCGTGTGGAGCTGAGGCAGCTCCCGCTTCTCTTGGAAACGTTCCCGCTGAGACAGCATGCGGGGAAGAGGAATTCAAGAGCGGGGAGCAGCGTACGCAGCAGACGTCGGCGAGTCCACTAACTGCAGCTGCCGCTGTCGTGCAGCAGCAACAGCAGCAGCAGCAACAGCAGCAGCAACAGCAGCAGCAGCAACAGCAGCAGCAGCAGCAGCAGCAGCAACAACAACAACAGCGCTTCTTGTGGGGACGTAAGGATCGTGATTCAGAGAGATCGTCTCCTGTCTGTGGGCACCCCCACCCCGCCGTTGTCAACGCTGACGAGGTAATCTCGAAGCAGCCATCTTGCCGCTGCAGCGCTTGCGTGCTGGAGACGCTGAACTACAACCAGCTGGCAGAACGGTCGGTGATGTACAGACACCTCCTGGAGCTCATGCAGCGGACTGAAGACGGTGCCTTCTTGCTGCGCCTGTTGCAGCAAGGCGAGCTGCAGCAGGGGCAGCTGCAGGAAATACTGCAGCAACAGGAAGACGTCTTTCGGGAGCAGCAGCAACAGCAAGAAGAAGAAGGGGGTACTCACTCAAACCAACCCCTGCACAGCAGCCTCGAGCTGACTTTGGATGCAGCCGCAAGAGCCGCATTGCTGTTTGAAGGACCCTTGTACGAAGAGTTTCTGAGATCTTCGCCTTCGCAACTGACCTCAAGAGGCATCGAAGAGCTGCGGCAAGGCTACACCCCAGCAACAGCAGCAGCAACAGCAGCAGCAACAGCAGCAGGAGAGGGAGAAGAGGGAGAAGGACTGTCGGCTGCGGCTGTTGCGTTGCCTGTCGGCGTTCCTTGTGTTTTATTCCGCAACAATCATTTTAGCGTCATTGTTCGCTATCCGGATCCTACAGCAAAGCCCACCCGCTCGCGCAAGCAGCAGCAACAAAAGCAGCAGCAGTGGGAAGAAGGAGACGACGCATGCGGCTCGGAGGATTATTATGCGCTGCAGCAGCTGCTGCTGCAGCAGGAGTCAGAGACAATGGCGGTGTACTGTCTTTGTACAGACGTTGCCTTTGCGGAGGAGTCAAGAGTAGTGTGGGAAATGATCCAGGATGTTAGGGGAGATAATCCATTTTGTGACGGTTCCTTCGTCCCTCTCAATGAGCAGGTAAGGGCTTTTGCTACTCGCCAATGTCAAAAAGGCTTTCACTACTTGCCGATGTCTGTCTGTCTGTATGTATGCATGTATATATGTCACTCTGTCTCTTTCTGAGTGCTCTTTGCCTCGGCTCGAGGACTGCAGCCTTTTCCAGTCTGCACGATATCTGCTGCTGGCGCTAATGTCGGTACAGGTGCAGCATGAAGCCATCCCATACCGACCATCCCGTGCTCCCTACGAAGACACAACTCCCTCGCAGTTCCCTGTAAGCGCCTCATTGGTTTGGAAATCCAGCCAAACGTGGAGCTGTTTTCTGTGTGTGCACAAACAACCCTCTCTTGCATACGAATTCTGCTTCACGTTCTGCCCGCTTTCCTGCGCTATGCTCTCCCCCTTCCTCTCTCCGTGCCACTCAGCCCTCTCCTCTGTTTGCTATCGCACGTGCATGCATACGTACCAGCAGCTCGGTACGCCAGTTCGCCCTTCACAACGCTGTTTCGCTCAACTCTCCTCCGTCGTGAACTCTGGAGCGTTCAGTCCACACTCTCACACACACACTGCCGTTTCCCCTGTGACTTCGCCTTTTGATGCACTTTATAAAGTTTTCTAAAGGCTCCCTTCTGAGCCTTTCTCCCTGCCTAGAATGCTGCCTCACCATCCTTCTCTGCGTTGCATGCTCGAGCTTCCATAGACGCACCACCACTGAATCTTCCCAGCGCTTTATTGCGTATGCCCTACGCCGCCCCTGTGCCTCGCTTTATCCATACTATGTCTGAATCTACACACACACACACACATATATGTACGTCTATACTCATATGCCTGCTCTCCTTTTCGAGTGACTTGCAACATTTGTGGGCTTCTACCACACTCCTTTCCCGCGCAAAAAGGGATAAGGTGCATTGCTACCGTGCAACTACCTCTTTCGCTCTCTATCCCTTTTTCTGTTTGTTCCACTCTCCACTTTCTCTCCATCTATCCATCTCTTTTTGACTCTCGCTATCTTCAATTTTCTCTCACTTTCTCCCCTTCTATCTAGCTCTCTTTTTAACTCTCTCTTTCTCCAATTCTCTCTGTATCTCCAATTCTCTCTGTGTGTGTCTCTCTCTCTCTCTCTCTCTCTCTCTCTCTCTCTCTCTCCCTCTCTCTCTCTCCCTCTCCCTCTACTCTCCCTCACTCTTTCCCACTCCCCCTTCCCCCTCATTCTCCCCTCTCTTTTTCTTTCTCTTTTTCTTCACCCCCCTCGTCTCCTCTCCGCTCACACCTGCACCTCCTTTCCCTTTTGCTCTCTTTCTCTCATCTTGCTTGCATGTACTCATT